GAAGGGTGATGGTGGTGGCACAAGTGGCTCTAAGCGGAGTCATAATACTGCTTCAACGCGAAAGATTAACACATATTTTTTTAAAAAACCCAAGGTTGAGATTGGAGCAGGGGCATTGACTACTGGTAGTGAAATTGATATTGACTCCCAAGTAATTGATAGTATAGATATTGCTTCTACTTCTGATCAGTGTACGTCTACAGCTTTAACTGCATCATCATCATCAACTATAACTAGTGGAGTCTTGTCCTTGAACTCTGAATTTGCTTCAGATATTGGAAACTATATTTCTAAAGGAAACATGCATGAATTACTTGATGCAACTAAAGCTGCACTACTAGAAAAACATTGGGTGCCTTCACCTAACTATGATTTTCCGCACCAAGTTTTGCAAAAACACGGAAAAACGTACAGAAAATATGTCCAAAAACCATTGAAGGCCTTTAACAACTTATTAGGCGAAGGCGGGTTATTACTGCAACATCAACGCAATCATTACCATAAGGTAGCCGTTGAAAGTGGGAAGAATTTTTTGGCGTATTATCATAAACCTGAGATCGATATTGCTAACCAGATTTCTACTCAAAGAAAGGCTCAAGTGGCAGAAAACAGAGATCGTTTAAGACCAATTATAAAAACTATAATACACTGTGGTCGTCAAAATATACCATTGCGTGGCCACAGAGACGATGGCCAGATTTTAAGCACGAACGCCGATCATAGTGACGTCTCCTCTGCAGAAGGAAATTTTCGAGCTCTGTTAAAATTTAGAATAGATGCAGGCGACTCAGTTCTTAAACGCCATTTATCATCAACAAGTTCTACAGCGACTTACATAAGCAAAACTGTACAGAACGAACTTATCGACATTTGTAAAGAACAGATTCAGGAAACTATTTTACAAAACGTGAAAAAAGCTAAGTTTTTCTCTATTATTTTTGACGAGACTACAGATATATCTCATACCGAACAGATGAGTCTATCATTCAGATATTTTAATGACGGATTTATTAAGGAAGATTTTTTATGCTTCTGTGACGCGTATGAAATGCTTCAATTTAAAGAAACAGATACCTCAGATGGCATAAAAGAATTACGGTTAACAGGAATCGCATTAGCGAGAATCGTGGAAAATCTTTGCTACAAATTTGATATAGATTTAGCTTTTTGTGTAGGGATAGGAACTGACAGCTGTTCAGTAATGGCTTCCGACGCTAAAGGTGCTGTTCAGGAACTCTCTAAAAAAGCCATTCACGCAAAACCGCTGTCCTTGTAGCAATCATGTTTTAAATAACTCCTTGGCCAAGTCATCAAAAGTCGCTTCGTGTAGAAACACAACTGGGACAATGAAAAAACTCGTAGCGTTTGCTAACGCTTCTGCAAAACGCCATAGCGTATTCTCAGAAGAGCTTGATGGTACGGCTATTCAAAGTATATGCGAGACACGATGGGTTCAAAGACACGACGGACATTTACAATTCCAGGGTGATAATTTGGTTAAAATTTGTAACGCACTGGAGAGAATATCGACATGGCAAGATAATAAAACTTCAAGTGACGCTCACTGTCTCTTACAAACACTACGTAGCTCTGACTTTATTATATCTTCGATATGCCTAAGCGATATTCTTGGTAAGAAAACAAAACTATACAAATCGATCTATATATAAGCTTTTTATTTCTCCAAAAAAATAAATCTTTTTTTTTTATTTTAGGAACTACAGTTTCTTTGAGCCGATTCTTGCAAACTGCATCGGTTGACATCAAAAGAGCCGTCGATGCTGTGAAGGATGTCATGGAAGTATTACGATCGAAACGCCAAAATGCTGAGTCTGTATTTAAGCAATTATTTTCAGAGGCGACAGAGCAAGCAAAAGAGCTGGATGTTACATTAAAATCCCCACGTACAGTTCAAAGACAAACAAACAGGTCAACTGTCATTAATGAATACCGACTCTGGATGACCAAATGGAAAAGAGAATATAAGAACAATTCGGCCATACCAGACTCGGTAGCTCATCTCATTGAAGCATGCGACCAAGATTTGTACCCTAACATAAAAATTTTCTTACAAATACTGGCGACTCTTCCAGTTAGCGTAGCTACCGCAGAGAGATCTTTTTCTACTCTTCGCAGAATAAAATCTTGGTTGCGTACCTCAATGGCACAGGAAAGATTATCCGGGCTAGCTCTCCTAAATATACACAAAGATGTGAACCTGGATATTGATGACATTATAAACGTTTTCGCAAAAAAGAAACGTAAGCTTGAATTTGTAATTTAAGTAAGTACCTAAATAAAGTTGTTTCATGTTAAATGTTTCTAGCATTTAATTTAATTTAATATTCTTAGAAAATGTAAAAAATAATCAAAATCTCGCCTGGTGGATCTTACTTGCTGATCTCACTTACATTACTCCTGATACAACGTCAAGATACCTATTAATCCAGTCTAGTGTCCCTATATTGGCTTACTGGCTAAAAGAAAAAGATATAACTTATTGATTAAAATAGGTTTGAATCGAAACTGACTATTTGATTTGAAGAAATCGGGTCCGACTTCCTCCTAAGTTTGTTTCCTTTCCTAAGGCCCAAGTCCTTATGCTCAGAAAAAAGGAAATAATCTAATTCTAAAGTTCATAAACGACTTGCATGATTGTTGATGAGCATGTTCATGCTCCGACTCGTACCTACTTAGCCGATTTTCTAGTAGCTGTGACCACAACCTTTTTTGAATGCTGGATCCGCGCTTGCGTGATGTTATGTTATGTTACAACTTAACTATCACACAAACAGACATAAAACAAACATGATCTACAACCATACGTCTTGTTTAACCTTGATCGACTTACAATTAATACCTTACCATTATCTCAATCAGTAGAAAGTGAAATAAGTGTAAATACAACAACAACTTCGTGTCACATTGCGTTTGACAGGCGGCCATTTTGTTTCAAATGTGATTGTCACGTGGTCATACAGTGACAGTGTGATATAAGGACGGTTTACATGACATGTGATTCTAACGCACGAGTTATTATTTAAATGACGGTTTCATTTAATTTGAATTTTATTATCTGGTCCTGACGTAAGAGGTCCTTGGTCTCGATTCCGAGTAAAGTGTTATTCAAAGTCAAAGTCAAAGTCAAAAACATCATCATCAGCCTGTATTCGTCCACTGCTGGACATAGGCCTAGCTCAGTCTTCAGCTCTTCTCATCCAACGGCTGTCAGGCACCTTGCGGATGTCGTCGCTCCACCTAGCTGGAGGGCGCCCTATATTGCGTTTGCCTAGACGGGGTCTCCACTCTCGAACAGTCAAAATCATTTAATTCAACTAGACCAGAAAGGCACTTATGAACGTCAACAAAAAATATTCAGGTTTACATTTGTAAAAGGCGTATCTATAAAATACCTACATATTCGTCGCAACGCCTTTACGTATCAACATCCAGTTATACAGGTCATTGTCAAACTGGACTTATTCATTGGAACTGTCGCATAATAAGAACATACAACAAATACAATGCAATAATAACAAAAAATAACATGTGTATATAGCCCCTAACTGCCAAGATAACACAAAGGTAACAAAGTCCGTGTAACAAATATTTGCGTACGCGCAGTATCGCAACACGAGGTTGATGTACTGTCAACTGTCACAGTCCTCAGTATCGGTGGAAATGTGAAAATTATTGTTTTGCTGTTGTTATAACACGTTGCCACCTATGAGAATTTCTTAGGACTCATTTATTTATATCATTCAATTTCGAATGTAGGTACACCCAGAACTGGAGTCATAATTTGCGAATCACTTCAAATGTGCAGTCGAAAAATTATTCAATTTATAACATAACATATAACATAACATCACGCCTTTTTATTCCCGAAGGGGTAGGCAGAGGTGCACATTTCGGAACTTAATGTCACTGTACAATGTAATACCCAGTTTTCACTATATCTGTTATACGAGTAAGTCCCATGTAATAGAGGGTGAGCCAAACCCGAGACCCCTTGAATAGCAGACCCACTTGCGACCACTCGGCCAACGAGGCAGCCGTCTGGAGGGTTCGTCTTAAAAAATATAACCTATTGGAATTCATATAGAGTAAGATAATCGAGAAATACTACATATTACTACAGTAAAGTCCTTTTTAATATATTTTGTAAACAGGAAACACGCTGCGAATGTATGCAAAACAGAGATGGATTTATCAAAATGCAATTAGTACGTGCGTTGTGTTACAGAAAAATTATATAAACGTTATGACGCGATATGTAAGACATAATAAATAAAACAAACCATTATAAGCTCAAAAGCCTGAAAAATAAGATATCTTTCTCAGATTCACGTGTTTTTGTTTGCGCTCAGATAAAATATTTAAGTGAATTTTATGTAAAGGCCAAGACTTTTTCCTCTAGTTGATTAATTAGACATACTTATGTAGACTCCATGCTTTGGTCGCCGAATTATATTTTAGTAATTTGGGCTTTTTAAAGAAGTTAAAACGAACAATATTGAAGAACTCAAAGCAATTCTCAATTGGATTTCCGGGTTCGGCAGACATTGTGTCTGATGAGAGTAAAAAAGAGTTGGGACAGATATATAGAAAAATGTTTAGAAATTTGTATCTTTATATACTCAACTGACTCAGTACAAAACTCATGTCACCATCACACACCAAGCATGAGGAAATATAATTATTTAGCTTCAACAATCATAACGAAGAGATATCAACACTTCCGACAATATAAAAGGCAAGTAATAAACAAACTAAAAATAGTTTGTCGCATAATCCTCAAGTCAAAAGACTTGCCGACTTTTCGAACACCACTCTATGTATGGATGTTACATTAGTTACGTTCAGTTAAATAAGAAAAACATTCCACGCTCCTACAAAAAACATGAAAGTAATCTGAATATAATTGCGCATCGTAATAAAAATAGCTTCATAAATCACAATGTCAAACACATCTCAGCAAGTCTGAGCTCTCACACAACATGGGAGATAAGATAACAGACGCGTCAGTAGTCAGTTACTTGCAGGCGATGGACAACTTCGGGTACCGCGAGATGGGGTGGCCTTCTCCCCAGCATACGCCCACGCAAACTACGCCCATGAGGGCTGGATTCCGAGGTAGCAGCGTCAGATCGCGAGCACCCAGAGAACCCGAGGAATTTCCATTAAATACCAACTACAAACATGTCAGAAACATCGACCTCTTGGAGTCAGCTCGAGAACCGTGGAAAGCGAAAGAGTATCTCTTCGTTGGACCCTCACCACCAGCTGAAGATGCTCCTAACATGTACCATAGTTTTGATGTCCTCGCTCCAGATCCTGAGGCCAGGTTGACAGAAGAAGCGGCCCGAAGAAGCCTGTGTGAGAAAGCGTTGACACTTGGAGCTGCAAGATTTTTCGATGATGTTGAGTGCGGTTTAATAACAACGGATAACATCCAGGAACATATCTGTTCTGCTCCTGAAGTGGTTGTGAACATGACGTTATTGTGGGCTGCGTTACTTGCCAGGGATGAACTATTGCCAGCTATTTTGGAAGCAGGAGCTGACATTCACTACTCAGAACCAGAAGGTTTGACTGCTTTACATCTTGCAGCATTCAGTGGTGCAGGAAGAGCTGCCATCTTCCTTCTCTCTCGTGGTGCTGATGTTGACTTTGCGCCGAAATATTTCGCACCCCTACACTGCGCTGCGTTTGGTAATTCTTTAGAAGTGGCTGAAATTCTGATTGCTAATGGTGCTTCATTACACGCTGTCGTGCAAAGGGCAGGATGTGAGGATAATCTAGTGCATTGTGCAGTTCGAGCTGATGCTGTTGAGTGTATGGAACTGTTTATCGAGAGAGGTGTGGACCCAGCGTATGTTACCTCAGGTGGATTGAATGCCTTACATCTAGCCGCTGAACTTGGCGCACAAAGATGTCTATCGTATTTACTAAAAGAGACAAAGATAAGTGTAAACGGTGTAACTAAACAAAGAGATAAGGAATGTACAGCTATACATCTAGCAGCGGCGAGAGGGTATGCTGAATGTCTAGAGCTATTGTTATCAGAGGGCGCAAAAGCAAATACGAAGAATTACAGGGGTTTTACCGCACTGCATCTTGCAGCTAGATGCTCGAGCATCGAATGTGTTGAAGTGCTTCTTAGAGATGGAAATGCTGACCCTAACGTTGAAGACTACGACAAACGCACACCACTTCATGCAGCAATTGGAAGATCGGAGCGTGCCTGTGACATCATCGATATGCTTGTAAGTTGGGGAGCTCAAGTCAACAAAAAGGATGAGTATGGATATTCACCATTGCATTTAGCCGCTATGGATAATTTGACTCAATGCGTTGAGACGCTCATATTCCTCGGAGCTGATGTAACTTCAAAATCTAAGAAAGGACACACAGCTTTGAGTGTAATTGCTAGGAAAACTCCAAAATCATTAGCGATATTACGACATAATCTTGATTGTGGCATTTCATTAAATCAACCGAGTGAATCTAATGAAGAAGTTCAAATTGAATTTGATTTCGGTAGAATGTTGAAATTTTCTTATCCGCGTGAGATCACATATTTAAACAGTTTGATAGATGAAGGCCAAAAAGATATATTACTACATCCGCTTTGCTCCGCGTTTTTGTTTATGAAATGGAGGAAGATAAGGAAGTTTTATTTGGCGAGGCTAATATTTTGTTTTCTTTTTGTATCATTCCTGTCCATTTACGTGTTGACGGCTGTCGTCAAGACTTGCAAGGGTAAATATGCTGAGAAGTATGGTGTGTTAAACGAACTTTGTCAAAAGCAATCTCTGTTAGGTTTGATCCTTACTAATAATCCTATCGAGTTTGAAAGATGGGTTTTAATGGCCATTACAGCATTCGAGATACTTCGGAAGCTGACAGGTATAACTGGGTATTCAAGTTTCTATCAATACTTTACCACATTCGAGAATTTGATGGAATGGTTTGTCTTGCTGTCTGTGTTTTCTCTTTACAAAATACATAATGATTACAGCTGGCAGAACCATGTGGGAGGGTATGCGGTGTTAGGAGCTTGGACTAACTTGATGCTAATGATGGGTCAACTTCCAATGTTCGGTGATTATGTCGCCATGTACCAAAAAGTTTTAACAGAGTTCTTGAAACTACTGCTGGCTTATATTTGCCTTCTCTTAGGCTTCACAATCTGCTTCTGCGTTGTATTTCCAAACGAGGAGATGTTTTCGAACCCTTTGATGGGTTTCATCAGTACATTATCAATGATGGTAGGAGAGTTAAATTTGAACATCTTGATCAATGATCCAACGAAAGATGACCCGCCATTGATATTCGAATTATCCTCACAGATTATTTTCATTCTATTCCTTATGTTCGTCACTATAATTCTGATGAACTTGCTCGTTGGTATTGCTGTCCACGACATTCAAGGTTTGCGTAAGACCGCTGGTCTCTCCAAATTAGTCCGTCAGACCAAACTGATCTTGTTTGTAGAAATGGGTATGTTCAGTGCTTGGCTTCCGAAATGTCTTCACAAATATGTGTACAGAACTGCACTGGTGTCACCAGAAGCCGGCAAAGTAATTTTAAGTGTGAAACCTTTAAATCCTAGAGAAAAGAGATTGCCTACAGATATAATGATGGCTGCATACGAATTAGCGCAGTTGAATAAAGTGAAATCGGGAAGGTCTATCAAAGAGATTTTATATAAAAACAAGTATACATCGAAATTGAAGAATGAAGGTCAATTTGCTCCTGACCATAACTTCAGTTTAGAGATTAGAGGTATGCAAGAGAAGATAGATCAGGCTACGTTTAATATGAAGAAGATAGACCAAGAGATACGGCATTTGAACACACTGTTAATGGATCAGCAGACTCTATTACACAATTTCTTTAAAAATACTGATATTATCCCATATAAGGCTCCTCACACGGCTACTCCTATATACTCACCAGAGTCTCCAATATTTTTCACTAATACCAGTCAGAGTCAGTATTCAGAAAACAGTACTAAATGATATTAGGTCGTATGGTAATTTAAGTGGATAAAGAAATTGATGCTTATTCTCAAGAATTTACAGTTCAATGTTGAATGTTTCTTTGAGTATGTGTTATGTTAGGACTTAGGAAGTGCTTTAAGAGTCTGAGAAGAAAATGATTTTAACAAACTTTGAGTTAAACAAGAAACCTCAAAAATGCTTGTTAACTAACGTAGTCGTGGTTAAACTTGGTTGATTTTTATTATAAGTATTTTATATGTATTTATCAAATCTCATAAAATAATGAACCGATTTTGATACAACTTTAAACACTAGTAATAATTTTTGCTTAAAATCTTACCACATCAAAATTGTTTTCTTGATTATGTACGTAAATAGAGGTACACATCTATTATTTTTTGCAGTCTAACAATAAATTTTAACAAGTCAGGGTATTTTTATTATAGATTAAGAATCATTAAAATGAGATCAATGGGTAATTCATTTTACAATGTTACGTACCTTCCGTGTAATCTCAGTAAGTATAAAAATAATTGTAATTTGTAATCAACCAAAACGAATCTTATTGTAAACAGAAGATGTTCTCAAAAAACAATAAAATATTCCGAAGTATTTCTTGATAAAAGTTAATTTGTTTTACGATAAAGTCTATGTATCAGATTTAACATCGCAACTACAGAACTACATACCTATTTGTATTTCTAAGAAAGGACAGACATCAGAATATTCTATATTATTATTCTATAGCATTCATGATCAATATCATCAGCTTCCTTTATCGGCACCTTCTACATAAAAGGGGTTTGTCAAAATTTCGATCCTTGTTCGGGTTCCAGATCACAGCCTCTGGTATATTAAGGAGCTAAGTCGAGGGATAAGTCGAGTTTGACCTAATTTCCATGCTTTGCAGGCAGTTTGGGAATCGTAGTTTAAATTCCCATGGTTTATAAAAGAGCACCAGTGCCTAGTTTCTGTAAAAAGTGTAATCTTTTACAATAGCCGTTTGAACAAAAGTGCTGGTGACAATAATTGTATCTAACTTTAATCTGCCGTTTTGGCTTAGTGATAGTATACAAAAAACGGCAGCTTCTTACTATCTTACTTATCCTTACTAATATTATAAATCGGAAAGTGAGTTTGTTTGTTTGTTTGTTTGTTCCACTATCACGCCGTAACTACTGAACTGATTGCTTTGAATTTTTGCAGACGTGAAGTTACAAGTCTGGATTAAATAATAGGGTACTTTTTATCCCGGAAAAACTTGATATTCTCGAGGGAAAACGAAATTATTGGTATAGATGGCGCTGTATGTATTGGTATACGTATGTCACATAGGCTATTTTTTATCCTTTTGTGACGCGAGCGAAGCCGCGGCTAAAAGCTAGTAATTATTATAAATGCATTATAATTTTGTCAGTTTGTGTTTGTCTGTTTGTCTGTATGTTTTTTACTCAATCACGTCAAAATGGCTGAAGGGACCGAGTTGAAATTTGAAACAGGGATAGAATACGGTTTAAATTAATACATAGGCTACTTTTTATTCCACGGGAACGCGAGCGAAGCCGCAGCCAGAAGCTAGTTTACAATAACTATAGTATCTACTTATCAGTTTTTCATTATCTCATCTTTCTGCGAATACCTTATGTCAACTAGAGTTTGTACGTTCTTAAAAATTAAGTAAATTGTTTGGTTAAATATTGTTAAATAATGATAGCGAGATAAGACAATGTTATTAAGTAAATAATGTATGTATTCTAATGTACTATGTGCGTATGTATAAAGGTATGTTATATACTGTGCTGCCATTGGTGGAAATGTGATAAAAATGATCGCCGTCTTGTGATTTTACTAAATAAACAAAGGTGTTTTTTCCTTATTCTATGTTTTTATTTTCTAATACTTACATTGATATACTTATACCTACTTTTGATACCATATTTTATTATAGAACTACCCGTAGTGTTCGCAATCTATGAAGAATTTTGCTTACTTACCACATATGTATTTACCATAGGTAATTAGTGTAATAATACTCCTAGTGTGGGAGAGCCATGCTTCGGCACGAATAGGCCGGTTTGACCGGTGTACCAAGACCTCACATAAAACCGACGTTAAGCAACGCTTGCGTTGTGTTTCGTCGTGTGAGTGAGGTTACCGGAGGCCCAATCCCCCCCCCCCCCTTCCCAACAATCTCCCCAATCGCCGAATCCCCTACAATCCTCAAATTCCTAAGTAATTCCTAAAAGGCAGGTAACGCACTTGTAACACCTCTAGTGTTCAGGGTGTCCATGGGCGGCGCCGATTGCTTACCATCAGGTGATCCGTCTGCTCGTTTAATGGATAAGCCAGCATAAAAAACTAAATATTACGATCTCCCTCTTCCGATCCCCAACCTGCACAACCTCAATCTTTTACTCCTTAACCCTCGAAAGGCCGGTAACGCAATTATAGCTTCACTGGTGTTGCGGGTGTAGGTTGCTTACTGTCAGTTGATTCGCCCGCCCGCTTGACGCCTGACGTCCTATAAAAATTCAAAATTATTATGAAGGAAGTAATCTTTTAAAGGTTTCAATAACAAAAGAAAAAAACTTCATACATTATTGATAAATATAAATGAATGCGCACGACTACATTGTGACAATAATTGAAATTGATTAAATACTTAAAGTAATATTAAATTAAATACGTATAAATAAAACTTTCGAATATCCTTGCTTTGACTACAAATGTATTTTAAAAGTATAATGTGTTCCGTGTTCTTTCATACGTCAGCATTGGTTTTCAGTTCCTGAATTTATTGGGCACGTTTACTTGATTGTAATTTTTTGGCGTAGTTTCGAAGTTCAAATGACTAGCCATGTTTCTTTCAGAAGTCCTCATCATCAACATTTGGGTACCTATTATTGCTATTTACTCATCTAGGTTTAATTTATTGTGTCACCTATGTACCTTATTTTCTTCTTCCTTTTAACCTCACCACATGGTAGGTGGACGCGAACAAGCGAATTTATCCTATACGACGTGTGTCGGCTGCATTTTTATTTGTAATCCCGCTAATTGCCGTCACATCATCATCATCATCATATCAGCCACAGGACGTCCACTTCTGAACATAGGCCTCCCCCAATGACTTCCTGATAGGCGGGTTGGAAGCGACCTGCAAAGTCAAAGTCAAAGTCAAAATCATTTATTTCAATTAGGTCAGAATGGCACTTTTGAACGTCAACAAAAAATTTTTAAAAGTGAAGCTATTTGCTCATTCCAAGGTGTAGATTCCTATGGAGAAGAACGAGCAAGAAACTCCATAGCATAGTATAAAGAACACCACAGTAGGTTATCTAAGGCCGCAAGCCGAGTTATTAGCCTACTCTTGCGTTGATCCCCAGGGTTGTCACTTTTACTTTTAGTTAATATTTTCGAACAAGCAGCACTTGATCTAAATTTATGAAATGAAAAGCATATTATGATTGAATATTTTATCAATTTATAAATTTAGTAAAAATTAAAAGCTTATAAAAAGATTATTAACTTCTTAAAATAAACTTTAGCTCTATACATAGTATTCAGAAAGTAAATTTGGGAATACATTTATATGGAAAAATGCGACTCGGCTACGCTCTTAACAAATCAGATAAACTGTGAAATAAACAATACAATACCACATTTTCTTATAATATTTAAGTATAGTAGGTAATTACATTTCTGGTTGAGTAGGAACTATGAAGAATGATAAGAGTAAGAATAAGTAAGTAGGTATCTCATCATCAAGTACCTACAAATTATATTATGCTAGAAAAAGTGACTAGCTTACCTTTCCTGTTCAATAGGTACCTAATCTGAACAGAGACAGTTCTGGAATCGATTAATTATTAAGACACCCAAACACACAGCAATACGTTCTTCTACGATTATCAGACATTTTTTATTTCATTGAACAGTGCCGAAAAGTCGAGAAGCGCGCGCGAACCTCGTACAGTGTCAGCCCTGCCTGGCGCACTGAGAAACGGGTCGAGATTTTGTTAAAGTGTGCGTGCGTCGACGCATAGATACTATGGCGCACACATATAAGCCGCGCGCGGAGCATTTGTATGAAGATAACCTACTTTGTTCTTTATACTATGTCCATAGGTTACTCTTTTTCAATCAGGTTTACTAGTTACATAGTTTTGCTGTTTGGATTGTGCTGCATCCAGAGGCTCCCGAATGATTTCCGCACATATATAAACTTTTTTATATAACTCCTATTAAAGAAACACGAGCAAAACTTACATGTTTGTTTCAAGTCTATACGAGAATCCTTAATATTATTAGAAAAGTAAGACATAAGTTCAGATGGGGCCCAGTTGAAGAGCAGGAGTAGGAACGGGGTGGTTTTTAGTCAGTAAGAGTCTGACACTCCTTTTCACCTCACCCAACGCGGGAGAAGTCATTGAATTATCCCCCTCCCTTTTAAAAAGGACATGATCCTTACTATATAATATAATATTATAAATCGGAAAGTGAGTTTGTTTGTTTGTTCTGACTTCACGCCGTAACTACTAAACCGATTGCATTGAATTTTTGCAGACGTAAAGTTGGTAGTCTGGATTAAATAATAGGGTACTTTTTATCCCGAAAAATTTGATATTCCCGAGGGAAAACAAAAGTATTGGTATAGATGGCGCTGAATGTATTGGTATATGTCACATAGGCTACTTTTTATCCTTTTGTGACGCGAGCGAAGCCGCAGGTAAAAGCAAGTAAGTTATAACTATCATGAACTTAGTTCTAAATAGGTACAGTACATACATAATGCGACTTTGCGAAACGCTCAATTAAAAACTTTTAAGGTTATCCGTATAAATGGGCGCTGGAACATGAATAGCATCAAAGGAATCCCAACAGTATCGGGTGCTGCGCCAAGTAAACCAGGCGGAGTAAGGAGACATTCATACATGAACCATATTTCTGATTCGTCATCATATTTTCCTTATCAAAGTCAATATAACCATAAAAAGGTACATTGGATTTTTTAAATG